TTTTTATAATTTTATTAGAAAAAATTAAAGTTACTTAAGAAAAAGTATTATTTTAATAAAATTATTAATATATAATTTTATTTTGTTTATTACATTTTATAATTTTTTTAAAGGGCCCTAATTTTTTATTTTGCCTAGGGTCTCAAAAAGGTAAAAAACGACCCTATTTCTACATTGTTTATCAATAAAATCAATGTCAAAAAAACTTTTCACATTAATTATATAACACATTTGTAACTATATCAATTTCAAAAATATCATAATCTCATTTTTTACATCAATTACTTCTAAAATCCTTGTAAAAAAGTTCTTGTAAATTACTAAAATGTTACCATACTTTTTTTAGTTTACTTTTTTTATAATTGATTAAAATATATTATAAAATGTTTATTTTTCATTAGTGAGTATTAAGATTTTAAAATTAAAAATTACATAAATTGAAAACATAAAATAATATAATTTGTTTAAAATATCATAATATTTGTAAAATAATTGACATATTATTTTATTATAATACCATATTTATAAGTTTCATTATCTTCAATCTTATTTTTGTGAATTTTAAAATATTTAATTAAATTTTAATTATTTTACTGGATGAAAGATATTTTAAAAATATTAATTTAATTACTTTAATTTATTTAAACTATATATTCATAATTATTTTAGATTTACTTAACTGTCAATATTTATAAATAATTATTCACAACATAATACTTTGAAGAATAACTAAGTTAAATAGGTTGGGAAATAAAATCATACTTATACCTACATAAATTAAAATTTAAGTTTGAGTATTACATTATAAAAATTAATCAAGAGAAATCGTAAGAAAAAATAATTGACTACACAAATTAAAATCATACTTATACCTATATAAAAATATTTAGTTGATTGACAGTTGAAAGTTAATGAACCAACAAATTAAAATTAAGAAGTTAAAAATTTAAATCAAAATAAAAATAAATTAAAATTAAAGACTAAAATGAAACTAAAAAATAATAAAAGAACCAAACTTCAAGAAAAATATTAGAATAATAAAATATTAATTTTATCAATTAAAATAGAAAATAAAAGTAAAATTGTATATTGCCAAACATTCATCTTTTACATTTATATTCTTTTTTCTTTTCTTTCGTCATTCTTCTACTTATTTACATTTCAAATATACTGTATTCTATCTTACTAGAATACACTTGGAGAAAATGATTTTATTAACAATTCACCATCGAAAGATATAACTTGGATATTTTACTACGGAATTTACCAAAAACATTACTATAATCATTCTATTAATCCATTCTCATTATTGAAGACAATATATCGATAGTGTCCATAAAATGGGAGGACAAATTTCATCAAAGTTTATTCAATAAAATTATATATAAACTATCCTTAAAAAATCTTTTACATTGTCTGCGAAAATTTGAAACCTTCGTGAAACTTGAAGTTCCACAATCAAGGAAAGGAAGGCCTGGTTTCTTGTAAGGTGAGGAAGGAACAAACCTTTGGATCAACTTAGTAAAAAATTTAAAGCTTAAAGATCTTTGTTTTTTTTTTTTTTTTTTGGCTCCTTTTTTTGTCTCTCAAACTTGAAGGATAAATTTGTCTTCGTCATAGCTTTTATTTTTTCGACTCCCTTTTTAGGAAAAAGAGGAAAGAATCATATTTCTTTTTCTTTTCTAAGGGTTGTAATTACATTAAAGGATGAGTTAGTAATGTTTAGAAAAGCTAAAAGAGAAAAGGCATGTTATATTTTGTGTCTGGTATAGCACCATTACAGGCAAAAGGGCGTCAATATTTTTCTCCCAATAAAAATGAAGGCAAAGGTTAAAAATACTGATTTAGAAATTAAAAATATTTTTTAATTTAATATAAAAAACAATACACTCTTATAAGTTTTAATAAACTTTTAATGCAATTTTTAATAAAAACTAATATTTATTATTTTTTAATTAATGTTCCGAAACTATGATTAATAGAACCCTAAAAGAATAAATTCCTGTGCTGAAATAGGGTTTCTGTGAGTTAGTAGTACATTTGTTATTAATTGATATATTTGTTATTAATTAATTTTTTAAACATTATAAATTTTTCACATACTTGGATGTGGTGGATGAGTTTATTATTAAAAAAAATTTTATACATAATAATTTGAACTTGAGACTTTACTTAAGCAACATCAAGTTGTTTGTCACTTAAATCAATTTTCATTAGTTATTTGGAGTTTATTTGATCAAACACTTTCTCTGCTGTAAATCTCCCATTGGCTCAGAAGATGTTAGTATAAGGCTAAATTAATTAATCAAACATGTATTTAAAACATTCAAAGGATCACCGCATGTTCTTCGGGGTTGGAAGTATTGAGTTGCAATCGAATATAGTTAATTATTGTTTGGACGTATATTTTAGTACTTTCTAATAGTATTTTAGCTTAAATAGGTTTCCAATTCTAATAAAATGCCCTGTAGTATTAACTAGAAGAAAATTATTTAATTGAAATTCGCACACATAATATCTGTCCTATCTACAACAAGTTAAAAAAAAAGATATATATTTGTCCTTGACCGGTTTGATCAACATTTCGATTCATCCAACCCATAATAATTTTTTAACGAGTTATATTTTTTAAATATTTTTATACTTTATTTTTTATATCTCTTTTTTCCCTAAAAATTTCGTAATTTTTTTTATCATTTTTTCCTCATTTTTAATTTTTTTCCCAAAGAAGTCACTCAAAATTTTATTTTTCATATAAATCCCTCTTTTAATAATTTGTTACTTTTTCTCTGTTATATATTTATATAACATTTAACTTGATTTATAAAATTTGACAGAGTTGATATAAATGATGTTAAATTTACATTTTCATCTCCTTCATATTTTTAAACCTCAATTTTAAAAATCATAATTTTATAAACTAAATTTTTATTCAAAAATTAAAAAAATACTAGAAGTATCAGAAAGAACTGAATAATAATTTGTGAAAAACTAAATAAAAAAATTAAGAAAGAGAGACCAAATAAAAAAAAATTATAAAGTTTTGGAGGACTAAAACTTTATTTAAGCCTTTTTTTCATTTAATTTTACATTATATCTGTTATCTTCGTATTTTTCTCTTATAAAAAGAATTGTACATAAACACTGCAAATATAATCATGCGTAGCGTAATTTTGGTTTTATGGTTGGTATTCAACAAATAAAATGTTTTATTTTTGAAATTAGCAAGAGATCAAATGAATCAACGAACATTTGCATGAAAAATATATTTAAAGTACAATACATACATATCATTTTTTATTTTAAATCAGAATATATATATATATATATATGTATATTATGATTTTTCTTACACTAGTATAAGTCTAAAAATTCTCACACTTAATTTAAATATTTTATATAATAATTAGTGAAGTACTAAATTATAATATGTTACACGTAAATTAAATGAAAGAATTAGATTAAATTTAATAATTTTTAGACTTACACTAGTGTGAGAAGATCTTATCCTATTCCTATATATCCTTATTATTAATTTAGCAAACCGAAAGTGCTCATCCAAACTAGCGCGATAAACTTCTTAATGATGCATATACTTAATCCTGCAATTCGCTTCATATTTGAAGTTTTAGATCCTCATGCATGATCTTAAAACGGTTTTAAAATGAACAGCTTTTGACTTAGATTTATGAAAAGTGCTTTTTATATGTACTTTGAGATGTTAATAACCCTTTTTCTTTGCTGAATGCTTACGCTATGAATCATTCCTTTATATACCCTTCGAAGACCTTTAACCTTTTGACAAGTCTTATTTTCCTTAAAAGACTTGTTTGAACTGTCCATGACATTTATTGTTTTTGTTCAACAAACTGTCCACGAGATAAAGTTACTAGAATGAACAAGGTGCAACAAAGCTCACATGCTGCCACTTACGTCCAGTAAAACCCTAGCTTACTAACACACACTAGGAAGAAACAGATCAGTTAATTTTTTCTCATTTATTAAAATTACCTTTATGTACTTCATCATTTTAAAAAAAATTTATGTAACTTATCTAAAAATTAAGGTATATAATTTAGTTTTCACTTTTAAAAAATTTGAATTTTTTTCATTTACTAAAATTAACTTATGTACTTCGTTACCTTAAAAATTTTCTTATTTAACTCATCTGAAAATTAAGGTATATAAATCAATTTTAACTTTTAAAAAATTTGAATCTATTTTATTTTATATTTTTCTCCTATAAATATTTATTGATAGTTTATATCCAAATTACATCATAATGATTCGTATGAGAATGTAAAAAATAAAAGAAGTTAATTTTAATTATACAATAATGCATAATTTTTTTATTTATTTATAAATTTATATCTAAATTACACAATAATATATTATATAAAAATGTAAAACGTTAAAAAGTTAATTTTAATGATAGAAGTATGCATAAATAGTTACATACACTTTGTTTTAGTGGAAACTAACGTTAACCATCTTTATAATATTAAATAGTTAAGAATTGATCTTAGATGATATCCCGACACCGCTGAATATCCAGAAAGAGAAAATAATTTTAATGCAAAATTGTTGAACTTTCTGTTCCATGCTTAAACATCAATACATAGTTAAGTAACAATATAAGCAAAAAAATGAAGTTTAATTATGTGGTTACTTAACTATATAAGTCATTAACAGATACCTATAAGCAAACTATATCATGAAAAAAAGAAGAGTAGATTACTTAACATAACATATACACAGATGCTTCATAAGTTTACCGTCGCCAGCCAAGCTTTAAAATTGAACATAAAGCTGTACCTCGATAACAATATCGATTTCATTCTTTCTTTCCCCCAAACATGTATCTAACTAATTAAGCAACAATAATAACTAGAAAATATACATATAACAAAAAGTTATCATCCAAACTAAACAAAGAAAATTACATCTCCTTCTAATATCACAGTTCTAGTATTTTAAAATTAATTTTCTTATCTACTAACTCTAGGATCCCAGCAGTGTCTCCACCTAAAGGCACATTTTGCGCTTCAACTTCAATAGCTATGTTGAGATCCAAAGAGAGGCATGGAGTTTTCTCCTCCAAGTTATCAATATTCCCTTTCCCTATGATTCCATTAGTTAGAGAAGTTCTAGCAGGAGAAGAGTCTCTTGACACTGAACTAAACCTTTCACAACTGAAAATGACAATAGCATCTTTGAGAGGTACAAATTCACCACCAGGAATTGTTATACTTCCACTTTCAATTGCTTGCTTAACACCCTTTTGGGAAAAGTGATCAACTTGCTCCAAATCTTCCATGAAGAACACCCTATGAGGATTCTCATTCACCGCTTCCCCAAATCTCTGAAGATAACTGCTACCAAACTCATCTCTTGGTCTTTTATTTTTGGACTCCTCATGAGTGGAATTACTATAACCTCTTGTACTAGAGAAACTGCTTATACCAATGACAACAAAGTTACCATAAGAGCCAAAAACAGCTTTTGCCAACTCTTTTGAGACCACTTCTTTTGCATGAGAATCCACACCTAGAAAGAGCATCCAAGTTTCTTGTCTATCATCTCGCTTCACCAAGTGATTCCCTCCTTTTCTCATTCCTGACCTGCAAAGAAGGACAGTGCTTGAGATCTCCTTAATTATTTCTTTCTGTTGCGGAACCTTTTTCTCCAATGCATCACAGAGAATCTTCAGATTCTCATCATTATGTTCATTGACCATTTGAGTGCTATCCAAACCTTCCACTGCCTCACTTGAAGAAGCAGAGTTGGGGCTAGAGTTAGGATTTGACAGAAGATCTTGCTTAGGGACATTGCTCTCTGGCATGAACATTATTAAGTTTCCTTCATCGCAATCATCTCTAACAGTAGTCTCAGTGTGTAAGTCACATTCTTTAGGTACTTCGTTTGCTTCAGAAATGACTGGCCAAATTATGGGACCCAGATTCAAGCTACACTTTCTCTCATGTGAAGAGACTGAAGTATTAGGGGATGAGGGAGATGACGAATCAAACAAAAATTGTTTCTCAAGCGCTCCATGTACTGAATTGCAGAACGAGTTCCATTTTTTACAGATATCTCTAAGCTTATGGTTTTCCTGGTTCAAAACAAAAATACAAAAACGCGTTAGTTTCAGGACTTTCAATTTGTTCATTAATACCTTATTATTATTTTGAATTAAGAATGGTTAATTATGATACCAACCTGATCGTTCATTATGTGATGACTTCTCTCTTCCTTGCAATTTTTGAGCCATGTTGGCAAGCTAGTAGTGCAATCTTTCTTGCTCATAGTAATCATATTAGTGATTCTTTTAGCTTCTTTTTCAAAATTCAATGAACAATCTCCACAGCAAGTTAGATGCTTGCGCACTTTGGCTCTATCAACAAAAGATTCGTCCTTGAATATTACCTTGCTTCTCTCCTGAACTTGAAAATCACTGAATAGAATGAAAACAAAAACAACACTTCAATATGCATTAAATAATAATAATAAAATCATTCTAAACAGAAAGTAGAGAAATATAGAAGAATAAACTAATATTACCTATCAAAATTTAAACCAAGGCTCAGGCTACCAACTGGAACTGTAAAGGGATGAAGCTCCCAAATAGTTTCAAGGGAGGGATGACATGCTTTACACTTTATGTATGTTCTAAAAGTTGCAACCCCCATAAGCCACAGTCTACCATTCTCCCGATTTCCACTGATCAATTTTTTAAGCTCCATCACCATATGCTCCACAGAACAGTAGTAGTTTGTTCTTTGCTCACAATAATTAGACCAAAACTCAAACAACCATTTCAGATCACCCAAGTAAAGAATAAACCCTCTTCCCACATAGCTTTTCACTAGGCCTCTAAGCTCCACAACCTTCCTTTCAACTTCCTCCTTGCTAATATTCCTGAAGGAGACTAGAGGAACACTTACAAATTGCACATACCTTAACTCTCCTTCAACTTTGCCTCTCTCTAACCTTTCCATCACTCCCCTAGCTACACCCTCAGCACAAGCAAGACTCTCCCCAACAATAACAGTGTTTCTTCTCTTGCTCACAAGTTCACTCAAAGCACTAGTTACATCATCTACATCACTATAAACATGGTCTATAGACTTGATGAATGAGCCCCCAAATTGACCAAAAGATATAGATGGGGACACTTGAAGCTTATTATTGTTTTCCTTGGAGGGTTGTTGTGAACAAGCTTCCATTGAAACAGCTGTCTCAACCTTGCTTTTAACAAGGGTGCTAGAGAAACCAGCTTCTCTCATGACCCTGCTAATACTAGGGTCATCAAGGATAGATATTATGAGCTGTTCCACCTCAATCTTCAAGGCCAAAATGGGTTGCTGCTGATTCTCAATGGATCCACGGCGTTGGTGAGCTTGAGCACGTTTGAAGGCTGCAACCAAGGCATTGGAAAGTGAGGGAGTGGTTGAATACTGAGGACCCAAAATAGTGCTTGGTGTGGATGCTGGCAAACGGTTGAGGGAAACATTGAAGCATAGTTCTAGTGCCTTGTATTGGAGAGGATGAGAGTGGCATTGAAGGCAAGCTTTTCGGAGAAGGCCTGTGGAAGTTGAAAGCATGACAGTGGCAACATGGAGAGGGGTAACTTGAGCATGACCCCTTCTTGTGGCAAGATTAACAGCTTGCTTAACAAGGGTTACAGCCTCTGGTGTCAAAGCTTGTAGCTGTATGCTGCAAATTCCTGCTCTCATCTTTCCAAGTTGTTGTGCCTCCACCACAACACAATAATAATACCTCACAAGAAAATTTGCAGCTTTGGTTAGACCAAACTTAGTGGAGTTTTTTTTATTCGAAGAGGTTCATTAATATGGATAAAAAGCAACAACAAAATCTCATTGCTAGTATGAGGAAGATGCAGAAATATTTATATATAAGTCCTAGTTTAAACTAGTTCGTTTGAGGACACTAAAATATGATGAGGGTTTTGTGCCTTTCTTGTGAGTGAGGGAAATTTTGGCTTTGCATGTGAAAGTGGGTTGCATGTGATGTAGCTCTCTCTCTCTCTCTCTCTCTATGGTATGTATGTAAAGTTATGTGGATTATCAAAAGCTGCTTCTCTTCGATCTTGTGGTACTATAAAATATGTTGCAAAGCAACAAGCTTTAAACACAGTGAATGGAATAATTGCTTTTGTCATGAATAAGCTCAGAGCTTGACGATGGAAAGACAGAGAAAAAAGAGATTGAAAAACAAAAAAGAAAAGAAAAGAGGAGTGTATATAAAAGGACTGTGTTCTGCCAATAACGAGGTAGTGAGGAAAGAGGAGAGGACGTTCTGTCTGTTTGAATGGACAGTGAACAGTGGTTGTTGGCTTTTCTTTTGTCCAATCTCGAGGAGAAGAGGAATAATAATCCTTGAATGATTGATGGAATAATGGTTTATTAAATCAAATAAACAAACATGTTTATATCGAAACCATGTTCTTCAAATGTGTCTCTTGTGTATCTCTTCTAATTCATTCCAAAAGTTGGCTTTCTTGAACATTTTAATGTCTAAATCATGGATTTTTGTTGCTTGGTGTATGTGTTATATATTTCTAGTTTTATAATAAGATGATAAAATAGAAAAGTGATGTATATAGGACATGGAACTTGGTTGAACGTGTTTACTTGTTCCAAATAATGGTTTTCTGTTGGCTGATACTTGCGAGAAATAAGATGACAAAATAGAAGAATGATAGTACATGGAATTTGTTGGAGTTCGGAAATACTACTGAAGTTGGCAACAAAATGACGTGGCATTTTATTGATTTTTGAACATGCTAAGTATACCAAAGCTAAAGATAAGAATGTAAGATGCATCTATCATTCTAGGCATGTTTGAAAAAAAAAAAGTTCTACTTACCTCAATATTCTAATGAAATATAGAGTTGAATAATTTATATAATAATTTTTTATAACATCAATTTTTTTTTAAATTAATCTGAAAATACTTTAAATTATTTTTTAAAAAAATAATATTTAATTTTTATATTTTGAGAGTATTGAATTTTTAAATAGAATATATATTTTTTAAATTCTATTCAGTACATGGACCTATTTGAAAAATTTTAAATAATTTAAAAATCAGGTTATTCGTTAAATTATTCATTAACACTGAATTATTTGAAAATTTTCAATTGAACTTATATAATAAATAATATTTAACTTTTATATTTTGAGAGTTTGTGATTAAGTTCTTAAATTTTTTAATAGATTTTTTTTTTAAATTCTATTCAGTACATGGACCTATTTGAAAAAAATTTAAATAATTCAAAAATTAGGTTGTTCGTTAAATTATTCATTAACATTGAATTATTTGAAATTTTTCAATTGAACTTATATATTTAACAAAATCCTACCAAAAATGTGACGATAGCTCAATTAAAAAATTTAGAGACATACTTGCAGACTTTTAAATGCAGAGGAACTTATTTAAAAATACTCAAATTATTCAAGGACTTTCAAATTAATTTAATTTTTATTTTACTTTTTTATTATATCAATTATCTCACTCCATATGCCACTTTTTTTTCTTATATTTCTTTATTATGCAAAAAGTTGTACAACCACAAAATTATATAAGTAGTAAAGGCTTTAAATTAATTTGTAACAAGTCATTTGTCATTGTTTTATTGAAATATAAATAAAAAATTGAAATATAAAACATAATAAGCATAGATATCACTAATTTATTATTGTTATTATTATTCTTACGCAAAACAATATGATACTTTTAATAAATAAAGAGTTTCACGATTTTCTTATAACATTCATTATTATCTTATCCTTGAGTATTTATCACCTTATTAAACATATATAGAAAAAACAATTTTAAAAATGTTGAATTTAGAAAATAGACGTAGTAATTATTATAAATTTATTTTACAAAACAATAAATTTTTTAATCAAATTTCATAGAGAAAAATAAAAAAAAGAAACTAGTTATTAATATTCTTGTTAACTTATATCACAATTATTAGGTTAAGTAAAAATAACATATATAACTATTATACATTAAAATTCATTGACCCGTTATTATTGAAATATTGAACAACTCAAAATTCTTAAATTATTAGTTTATTGTGACTAAAACTCAAAATTATTGAATTACTCAACCTGACAGAGTCAAGTATTCGACATTTGCAACGTTCTATTCGTAAAAACGTTATTATTTCTTCAACCTCTGTCGAACAAACAAAATAATAAAATTATATGAATTATGAAAAAAGTTAGAAAATATATGATTATTATAAAAAGTAAAAATAAAATTTATTAGTGCCTTCTATTTATGCAGAGTTATCTCATGCACAAATTTACTCAACAAATAACTTAACATTAAGAAAAATGAAGAACGGAGGAGAAAAGCCGACTTGGATGAGTATAGTTTTTTTCTTCCTGAATTATGTAAGTATAGTTGAATGACATCTTGTATCAAAGTAAAATTTATTAGTGGCTTTTGTTCATGCAGAATTACTTATGCTCACAAATTCACTAAGCAAATAACTAACATTAAGAAAACTGAAGGATGAAGAAAAGCCTAATAACTAACATCATAAAAAATATTTTTTTTAAAAATATACTTTTCTTATAATATTTTTTATTAAAAATTATATAATATTTTACATAAAAGTATTTAGATTATATTTTTTAATTTTTTTATAAAATTTTTAAAAGAGTATAAAGTATGAAATAAAAAAATATAAAGAAAAGTTATCACATCAATATTTTCTAACACATTACTCTCCTTAAAATAAAAAATTAAATTATTAAAATAAAATAAAATAACTCAAAAAAATCACATTATTTAACAAATATTATAATTAAAATAAAATAAATTATCTTAACATATTCCTTGTCCACCAAATGCCACTAAATTATATCCTATTCAGTAAACATGAATTTGATAATAAATTTCAATTTATCACAATCATTTGGAATGCATCAATCATACTATGAAAGCTATATGCTAATAATAAACATTTTGCTGAAAATGTTATTTTTAGATTTTAGTTATTTTTGGGATACCATGAAATAAGCTCGATATCAAAAGCTTTAATAATTCAATGATTCAATGTCTAGCTTGTGACTATATAAATATTCAGCAACATCGGTAGTAGAATATCTTATAACAAGGAAATTTCACATTACTAATTCAATATTCACAAATATCTCAACATAAAGATATGTAGTATGCCACTAATGAAATTTTTTAAAATATACATCACCAATAAAGAAAGCACAATTTAGATCATGAATACTTTTGTTAAAGGTGAGAAGAATTTGGCACACATAATATATATAATTATGGTCCATTAGTAGAATCACCATTAATTTATATATTAAATAATTATTTTATTATGATTTACTAAAATTTATTTTGATGTGTTTTACTTTATCAAACACTTTATCTTTTGTAATTAAATAAAAATATTATTATTCTTTAAATTTTTTATTAAAGTTTTTCTTCATATTTCAAAAAGAAAGATTTTATGAAAATTAACCACTTATTATGTCTTATGAAAACATTTTTATGTACATATTTGAATTTGATATAATTTGTTCTTTTATATTATATTAGACATGTATATTATCTATTTATATTATATTCAGATATATTGTAATATGTTGAAAAATTATTAATTATACCATATTTAACATGAAAATTTCTTTTTTAAACTCAACATATATTTTTGCACTAATTTTGCACAAAATTTTTAAATTTTTAATTAAAAAAGTCAATTACAATCAATGTTAATTTTAAGTTTAGGTAATAGGTACATAGATTAAGATAGAGAGAATTATATTTTTTTCTCTACATGAAAAGTTATGCAAGTAAGTTCTAAATTATCAAAATTACAAGACATGTATTATAGGTACTCCTTTGAGTCTTATAAGAGTTTATTCTATCACTGTCAAAACAAAATGTAAATTTTTTATTTTTATTACAGACTCTTTATATTCATTATCAAATTTTTTATTAAGAAAAATCTATTGAATGTCTAAACTTTTCATCTTTAATCGTTCTCTTAGTATGTCATATCAAATGTTTTTCATTTTCTATATTGCAAAACATACACTACTAGCATGTCATTCAATAAACAAAACAAGTCCACGAAACTTTTATCACTACATATATTAGATGCTTTTAAGTTATAGAATTTTAACATACTGCACTCAATCTTGTGAAATTTGTATATCCGTATACAACAAATTTTCTTAAATATCTTTTAACAATCTTTAGGATCTTTTTCAATAATATTTAAAAAAAATTTAACATAATCGATCTCATATCTCATTAATGTATGAGTATCTAATACTAGAATATAAATATACTCATGTACTTTTTTATAAATATGATAAAACTTAATTAATGTCTTCGTTTGTCAAATATGATATGGCTTTATCTCAAGAAGAATTTTTTTAAGCTTTAATTACCATTTGTTATTTAAATTGAGTATTTTATATTTAACAAAATTTTGACAGCATTTTATATTAGTTTTCAAATACATAACTTGAATATGATATTATTTATCACAATCGAGCATGCAGGCAAAGATAATGAAAAATGTCTAAACCAAAATTTTTTTAAGTATGATATACACCATTTTAATAAACATTTGCTAACCAATCGGTGGAAATTTTATTCACAAACAGCTAACTTTAACAATTTAAGTTTTAACATAACGACTAATTCAATTATTATTTTAAATCTCAAACAAAAAATTAAAATTTCACTCAAATTTTAAATAAAATAATATATTTAAATTTAAACTAAAGAACAATTTGCACTAATTAATAAAGTATATGTATTTATCTTCATAATTTATACCGAACAACAAAGTATATGTATTTATATTCACAATTACATTTTTGTTTTGGGAATCATTTTTCAAGCAATTTTATGGACCTATAACAAAATTAGATTATGTGACATTATGGCTTTGTTTCAAGCAATTTTTGGAAATCCTTTTCCATAATTGCCTCGTAGCTTCTTTCAGATATAATACATTTATAACCATATTAATTGCAAGAACATATATAGAATGAATGGTTTAAAGTCTTCACCCTTAGTTTGGGTATATTGTTTTAAAGAATCAACAACATTGATATTCTCACGTAATGATCCAGGAGAATTTTTTACAAGTTAGCGGAAGATAATCTGGCGTAGTGAGACTTACCTGTTTGAGCAATATTGCACAAGTCAGACCCTGCTAAAAAGATGATCAATTAGTGGTGGAACTAGCTCAAGTGTTGACAAATTTTGTTGTATAAATAATTGAGTTGAATGAAGTAGCTTCCTCAACTGCATGACTAACCCACATCAACGGTTTTTCAAATGCTAAAAAGCTAGAATAGGAATTGTACTTCAATTAGCAAATGGCTTAATAATTGAATAATCTTTAAAGTTTAATTTCAATACCTCATACAATTAGGTGTGGAATATGAGGTTTACCTAGCCGACCTAGCAACTTGTAAGAAGTTAGAGCCAACAAAGTAATATTGTAGTGATTTGTAGCTAATGGAGTTTTTTAATTTAATATTGTTAAATGTCAAGTCCTTACTCTCATGATATAATTAATACACAGTTCTTAAGAGTCCCAAAAAATTTTTGAGCATCTTTGCTTTCATTTGCTCTTCTTCCATTGTTTCATCTTTTTCGCACAACCTACCTACAAACGATCATGACCAGGAATTTTAGTGAATCTTGTTTGTACATGATCATTAGGGTTTAGGATTTGCATTACTCTCATAACAACTGTGTACTGATTAAAATAAGAATATAATTAGTATTTGACTTGTGGTACTAGTAAATTAAAACTTTTTTAGCTAACCCAACACTTAATAAACAAATGTTAACAACATACACTAAGGTTATCAACTAAATTCAAACTAATTATTTTATAGAATAATTCTAAATGCAACAACTCTTATATGGACCAAAAACTATTAAATATCTATTTTAAAATGATCTTAAATATTGTATATTACACATTTATTGGGATTAAAACAAGTAGCGATATATATATATATATATATATATATATATATATATATATATTTAATATTAAAATGTACTTAATTTTTTATTAATTAAATTAATATCAAATAAACTTTTTGGTATTAAATAAATAACTCAATATGTTTTAGGTTACAAAATATTTTATTAAATATCTACTTAATGTGAAAAAAATTAATTTAATATTGTTAATAATTAATAATATAAAAAAATAATACACAACGGTACCACTTGCATAAAGAAAACAAACTTGAACAACTAGCCAAAAAAAAACTTGCAGTATGGGAGAAAACGACAAGGAGTTTGTGCAATTAAAAAATTGATTACCTCAATAGCCATGCATATGAGTTGCAAGGCAATTATGCAGCCGCCATTATACATGCCGATGTGCCCATTAGCATCCCTAATAGATATCTTGAAAGGAATTGCCTAAAAACTTGCTGCGAAAATGATCATAAACCTGTGAGATATTTAATTTAATTTCCCTATGTAACTCACTTTATAAGAACTTAACGGGTGTGACTGTGAGTGAGCTCGACTCTTTAACAGGACCCTAATTGACAATTCAGCACAAATACACTGAAAGATTAAATTGCCAACAAAAGTTTATATATATATATATATATCACAAGAAACTTCAGCCCCACTCATTTGTGTATCTAGGAGGATAATCTACAGCCCAACTCTATGCATATCTTGACCTTTGAAATTTTCTTGATGATGATGGTTGGAAATATATTAATGTCGTGACACATATAATAGACTGTGATAGGCAACGATTAAGATATTTAAATTATTTATGCAATTTTCTTTAGTTTAAATTATATAATAGATATTTTAACACGTCTTGAAATTAATTAATTCTTCTTTCAAATATTTATTATTTTATTAAAATAAATTTAACTATGTACATTAAGAATTAATATTGTCTATCAATAAAAGTTAATTCAAATAATATTTTTTTTTTAATAATAAACTCATACATCATTATCTAGATATACAATCTGAATTGAATCTAAATTAAAATAATAGTTAGTTTTATTTTATTATTATATTTTTATGAGCCAATATGCAATGTATATTTGTTTTATATTAATTAAGATTTTAGATTTAAATTGAATATATAAAAAATCTTATTAAAAAAATTAATTTTATTGTTATAAATTTTTTATTTAAATAAAATTACCTTCTATAAATAATAATTTTAATACAAGATTAAAAATGACGAGATATCCTAACATATAAAGATTAACTCATATTAGAGAATATATTAGTTATTATAACTAGATTGATTGAGGATTCTATTAGGCTACGATAGTTAATAAAACTTGTTAGTAAATATATAAATTATATATTTTTTTAGTTTCTTTTACTTTAAAACATTGATCCCTAGAATTTTATTAGTTTTAGAATTTTTTCTAATAAATTAGAATTTTCTTATTAACAGTTAGTTCATAATAACATTATAAATTCTAGACTGCTGCATATAATTATTTATCTTAATTTTAGAATGAGAAATTTATCACTTCATCCAAAATTAGAGAATGTTTGTTTTACTTTTTTTTAAAAAAAATTATATTTTTAAAAATAAAATTTAATATTAATTTATATTAAATTTTATTTTTAAAAACATAAAACTGTTTTTAAAATAGTAATTTAGCATACCCTTACTTTCTTGTTATGAAAGATCTAAGCACTTTTTCTTTAATATTATCCACTTCCTTGATTACTATAGTTGCACTCATTTTTTTTACCATGTTGCCTTCTTTTAACGAATATCTAAAACCTTTGACTATGGATTATTACTTAATTATAAGAGTGCATTTAATTAATATAAAAAAAATTAATTTTTACTTGAAAAAGTGGAATGATTTTTCTACATATATTTTTGTTCACATAACTATGGTTTCTTTCATTCAAAATATTATTTGAATTTATATGTCAAATTAATGTAATATTATTTAAATTATTTATTTGATAAAAGAATAATCTTATTTCCTTTTAAAAAATAAATATCAATTTTCCATATAAATGAAGTTGTGTGTTAGAATAATGTATCACATTGTTAACATATTTATACCCACAATATTTATAGTAATAGTTTTATTAGACAACAGTTATGCTATTGAAAAAATAAACTTAATATTCTTATAGTGAATATGCTGTTCACCATGAATTCAAATTTATGTATATTAACACTAGTTTTTCAATATGAACGATCGTCATGCTTACGATGAATCTTACAGTTTAATGTATATGCAATATTTCAAATATAAATTAAATCATAAATATATGCATGATGAGTGGTAGATACCTTGCCTAATTAAATAAGATTCATCACAAACCCATGTTTATATCAAAGCAACTCAACCTAAAGTAGGTAATTTTAAAATAGAAAAGACGTATATAATTGTTAATTTATTTACCATGATAAATATTATAGAATTAAAAAATATTTATTATTTTGTAAAGCCTTAAATATGTTTTTATATTTTCTAAAATATATATAATTTTGATTTGAATTTCTATAAGATTATTTTTTTAGTTTGTATATTTTAAAAATTATTATTTTTGATATTGTTTACTTGTGTGACTTTATAAAAATTAAAGCATATATAAAAATTGATACGTAATAATATTTAAGTTAATCACATCATTATTTAATATTATAAAAATAAAAATTAATAATTTTTAAATATAAAAATTCAAATAAAAGTAATAATTTTATATAAATCTAAATCAAAATTTAATATATTTTGAATGACAAAATCGTATTTAAACCTTTTATTATTAATGTATGAGACAATCAATTCAAAGAAAAGACAGAGAACCTAACTGGACCTGAAATCATTCTACTATTTCTTTCAATCTACAAATATACACACAAATTGCGACAGAAATTACTATGGACACTAAGACCTTCCAGTATCTTCATCCTGGTGATCAATAACCTCATTCTGATTTAATGGATACAAAGGGGAAGAAGCAAAAGATGAAGCAGCTGAACAATATGAACTTTGAGAACAAGAATCAGAGGCAGCAGCACCCAAACTAATTAGTAAATCCACAAAAGCCAATACAACAAACCCATGATTGTTCTTACCATTTAGCCTCAAATACCAACTCAAAAGCTCCTCCAAACCCTTCCAATCTTTTACACCATGAGTCTCCACCACCTCCTCCATTGACTTTCTAAAGTCGCTATATGGATCCTCTGACTCCATAGAGAGTAACAACACACTTTCTTTGAAATTCAACGGAGCCCCACCAACAACCTTAGCCTTGTTATTATTCTCCAAGATTGAACTTGTGTTGTTGTTGCCAGGCTCAAAAAATAACCTTCCTGATTTCACCTCACGCACCAACATGTCCAAACACTCTCCATCATAGTTCTGATCAGAATCTGTTTGGAACAAGCTTGGAGATTCAGGTGAGGTTGTGAACCATGTGTAGTCAATAGTTTGGACTTGGCTCTCAAAAGGGTCAAAGAATATGTCATGATCATATTCACTGGCTCTGAACGAAAGGGTCTTGTTTTGTTGGGCACAAGAAAGAAAGAACTGCCATGGATGGTGCTTTGATCTTGGTGGTGCTAATTTGAAGAGTGATGGCAGTTTCAATGTTTTCTTCTTTCCCATTGGGAATGGAGGGAAGGGGTGAGGAGGCAATTCCCTTTGGATTGAATTATATTTATATAATTTTTGGATATTATGCCTTTGTGACTTCAGTTGAAAAAAAAAACAAATAAAAATTATGGTGTTGTATTAACAATATTTTAAATAAAAAATATTTTTAATTTATTAACTATTATCCTGAAAATATTATTTAGTATTTATAATAATTTGTTAATGAATTAAAGAGACAAGAAAAGAAGAGAAAAAATAGTATAATAAAATATTTATATGAACTAATTTTATTGAAATAAATAAAATTTTTTTTTATGGCTTGAAGGGATTATGTTGGTCTGGCAATTGAAAAGTGTCCTCAATATATATATATATATATAATATTGCATAAATGTTTTAGGAAATTAAAGTAAAAATAAAATTTCATGGAATAATTTCAGTTAGAAAGGGGTCACTGTTGTATTTATAGCAGAAGCTGTGACAGGAAGCAAAAAATATGGCAAAACCAGTGGGGGGTGATAGTGCTTTCGTGGTTGAATTTAATTTGTAGGTTGTAAAAGTCACTGTCATTCAATTCAATGCACCTTTCAACAGACTGAATGCAACACTTCCTTGGATGGGGAGGTGGGAGGGAATGGCCTTAATTCTCATATCTGTGGTCCTAATTAATTATTAGATAAAGATAAATATTACATTATTTTATATTTTTATTTATTTAAGATAAATAATTATTAAAAATATGTGACAAAATATATTTTTAAAATGACAGTCTCACACGCCTTTTACAAGAGAGAATTAATGAACGGTATTCTCTCAACAAACAACGAAAATGTTATCATTATTATTAGTTTATTTTATATATATTTGACCATGTATGAGTTATTATTTATAAATAAGGATAAAAAATGTCAGATTGGAAATATAAGGATATTGTATTGAAAAAAAGGTTAATAAAATAATTTTAGCATATTCTTTAACATTTTCACCACCAATTTATGGTTTAAAACTTAATATTTAGTTTAACAAATATAGTTTATTTATGAAATAGTAATTTGACTTCTTTTAAATACATTAATTAATGATAAAAAAACGTCATAGGTGATTTTGGCGAAGAATTTATTTTGACAATGAAAATAACATTATTTTTTATTGTCGCATATATATTCTCTTATTTTAGAGAACCTCGAAAGTGTTTTTTTTATCTTTGACAATTTTAAAATGAGATATTAAAGTTACAAATCTATGATATTTTTATACCAAAATGACTAAAAAACTCCATTTGTATGACTCATGCATTTGAGATTCCTTAAATTATTTATATTTAAAAGAAAGATAAAGAGAGAAGATTGAGACGTAAACCTGTTTAAATATTCTTCATATGGTTCATTGGTTTGTATATTTAGTAAAAAAATAACATTTAGAAGCTTCTTTTGAAAACAAAACTTATAAGAAGGTTATATTATTCTTATAAAATATTGTAAAAATATTATATGCAAATAGAACTTCTTTGTACATGCATGCACACAACAAATAACCTGACATAAGGCTTTAGGGATATAACATTTTCAGTCACTACAAATGTATATACGTTAACAATGTCCGAGCAACTCAAATTGCAAACATTATAGCCCATTCCTCATCTTCTAAGTTTAGAATTCAATTATTCTCCTTCTAAATTTGTTAAATTAAAAATTTCATTCTACCAAAAAAAAAAATATTAAAAAGCAATTTTGTATTATTTTAAAAAATAGTGTAAACTGCTCTGTATAGTATTGTTATGTAAAGTTAAATGAATTGTTTTTCAATTACTATAACATTAATTGCAATGCAAACGCCAATTATCACCGAATATATCAACAAGTTAAACCGCTACATCTTTGCAACTCAATCACGAAATAAACTTGTACTACACCATTACATCAGTTTTCACCATCGATCTCACTATTCTCATTTCACAACAACAACATGACCATCATTATCATCACTTCTTACAAATTTAATATTATTGCTTACTATACCCAAAACTACTACTAGTTCCACACCATATTATGCCTAAAATCAAACATATAATTATCATTAACCTTTCATTATGCCAAATGTCAACCACTATGTTGTCTTAGTCTTCATATTCTTAATAGTTGAGTGGCACCTAAGCCTTGTGTACACTATTTTTAAGTTAGAAGTTGCTAGAGTAAATTTTAAAATATTATTTTGTGAGAGCATTTAGTACATAGTCATTATTTAAAGTAACTTAGAAAATAGTTATACATGAAATCATTTTGCAGATGAATATTAGGATGCAGTTGTATACCAATTGTCGTCTAAAGTCACTTTAGAAAGCAATTCCATATGAAATAATAAAGAGTAATTATAATAACTACTTTGAAAGATAAAAAATGGTGTTTAGTCACAACTCATTCTCCATCTTTGTTATAATTAACTAATATGTTTTTTAATTAATTAAATTAAAAATTAACCTCTATACTTAACATGAATTTTCATTTTAATCTCTACATACATTTTAGACCTTATATTTAGAAAAATATTAGTGAAATATTTTTTGTCGTTTGGGCCATTACAATAATAATAAATTTAATTTCTATACTTCTTGGTTTATATATGAAACAAATTTACACTTTATTTTAGTGGATTGTTTTAAAAAATAAAATAACTATCAAACGTTAGTAGTAACATCATAAGTCACGTTACTATTAGGTGACTTATACATAAATACTTGACGTGCGTAATTTGAGCACGACTATATTCAAACATAAGTCACACCAAGTTGAGATGACTTACGTACTATGACTAAGTTGCACCAGTCTTGTGTGACTTATGATTGTGCATTGGCGTGCTTGGTATGAGCATGATGATGCTAAGTATTGTATATAACATAAGTCTTTCAATGGTAATGTGACTTATGATGTCATTGCTGATGTTTAAATATTTGTAGTAGGCATTTTGACGTAGCCTAGTGTGATATCAATCACATAAAATTAAAGGTGTAATTAGAAGAAAAAAATGGTTGAAAGTCATTGAATACTAGTTTACTATAATGGAAAAGTTACAAATAATATAGGAATTACTTTTAGTAATGTCCAACTGATCTACATTGTTGTCCATTCAACTATCAATTTTTTATAGCTGCAAAGCAATATATTATAGCAATTAGGCCATGAAAATAATAGGTAGATTATTGAGATGTTGTACAAGTTGTCCATGATGATAGGATAAGGCATGATCAAGTATACAAGTTATCCAATTTGCAGTGATAATGATGTAAGTATGATGTTTAATTTTCAAGCCCAATTTCTAAAGATTCACATCATTGAGATATTCATCACTCTGCAAGAATATCAATTCAGCTCTAGAGATTTTAATCCCTATTAATTAGCTGTTGCAGCCTTTTACATTGGAGTGTAGTGTGAGAAGGCTAACATTAGAGTTCCTTAAGAAGGTCAAATGAAGGCATGAATGATAAATAAAATTTAATATATGAATTGTAATTGTCATAATAGGGATCCATGTTGGCTTATGTCATAGTTGTGTTCATCATTTGTAAAGCACAAAAAAATTGGGAGTTCAGACGTAGATATAGTTGGATTAGGCATATTATGCATGGTATGCATAAATTGGTGGTTGGTAGATGGTGGCTAAAAGGTGTTGTTAAAGGGTGCTTGGTAGATGGTCGCTGAAAGGTGTTGTTAAAGGGTGCATAGTTTGGTGGTTGGCGAATGACCCAATTTATGTAATACCTCAATCATTGTAGTCATTATCTTGAACATCATCATCGTTAATATCCTCACTCCCATCACTTAGATATTGAAATCTATTAGCACGGGTCTTAATAGGAAGACAACGGGTTGCACCTCTTTCATCAAGGAAATCAAGTGGATAGGTGATTATTGGAGGTGTTGGTGCTGTGCTTATCACTTCACAAATGAACCAATGCTTAACCATGAGGCACTTCAAATAAAAACTTGTGTGCAAATGTTGAGTACCATTACAAGTAATCATGTGATGGTCCATTGTCACCAACCATGTTAACCTCAATGTGTCGATCAATACATTGATCCCATAACTCATGATACACCTCAAAGTGATTAGGCCACCATTGTGTTCAACCTTACACTTCACGTCCATCGTTGCCATGAAGCCTATTAATGTTCATCATATGATGTGGTATGTGCTTGGCTCTACCAAACCAAGGAAGAACATGATCTAGAGCGTATCATTCAATAATGGCAAAGCATATAAGAGGAGTGACAAACATATGGCAGATAAAGGTAAGAAGGGTGTTACTCACCATCCTAATGGTGGTAACACTCCTTCATCCATCATTCCCATTTCGACCTCCACACCAGCTACAGTGCAAACCTCCTAGGTTAGGGGGCAGGAACAATTTATCATGGTGCCCAATCCTGGATATATTGCTCCTTCCCCTCCAATAGCGCGAGTTTCACACTTTGCACTGCTTACTACACAGGGCACAGGAGATGGATCCACTGTTGTCCCAGTTGTAAGTGGACAGCAGTCATGACAGACCCAGGCATTATCAAGATCGTTAAAAACTTTGAGATGGGATGAGTCCACTTCGTAAGTTTCGTTCAAAATATGCCTATTGCTTATTTTATGTGAATGTTATAATAATTATTTTATTTTATTATGTTATCAATTGGATACTACCGCAGAAATGTCTCCACCAAGTCACAGATACCATTAAGAAGATGTTTGATGCACCTTACACAAGTTTTGCAAAGGTGCCGAAGGATACAAAGATGGAAATGGTTCAATGATTGGAAGGTAATAATAGTTAATTAATTTTAACTAAGTGTAATTACATATGACTGGTTGTATCTCTTCTAATGAAATTGTGTTTAATAGAGCAACTTCTCCATTCCTCCCAGGATGAAAAGATGATTTTCAAGGCCTGGAAGAATCACACTGCAAAGCGACTAAGACAAATGTACACAAAAACTCGTCAGATCCTTCTACTGTTGATTGAATAGCACCCAACTTTCTTCATGCCTTGCAGAAGTATTGGGGTACGGATGAGTTTAAAAATCTCTTTGTAAAGAATAAGACAAATAGGACATCTAATAAGAGGGGATCACTTCATACTGGTTGCTCTACGACTTTGGCTGGCACTAAGGCGAATTTGGTATGTGATTTTAAAATTCATTTTACTCTATCTATAATTTTATATTTGAGATTGTGATTTAATTAGAATTGCAGGAGAAGTCATTGAAGAGGCCACCTACATATGGAGACACACACTCACACGGGAGACAAAATCTTGTGGGTTGATACACAATCTCAAGCCACATATGTAAGTCATTTTTATTGATACTATATGTTATTATTAGTGATTTATTAAATAATTCTCCAGACTAATATCTAATTATCTGAACTGAACTATAGGATGACTATGTTCAAAGGCTTGAGGAGACATCTTCTCAAGATCCATAGTCAGTTGATAAGGATACTATATGGTCACAGACAGTGGGTGACCTTTATAAAAGTTGCATTTATGGCATGGGGGCTCACTTTGCAAACTCCATGTCTCATGCATTTATCACTAAAGATGACCTTTCTCTTGCACCTGAGAAAGTGGGGGTCCACACTCAGGTCCATGCCCTCAATGAAGAACTCTAGAAGCAAAATGAGGAGATGTGGAAGAGTAAGGAAAGTGCATGGAAGAAGAAGTGGGCAAAAAAAATGGAGAAGAAGATAAAGAAGAAGGTGGTATTGAGGATGTAAAGGGAGATCTAGTAGCAGATGGAGTAATAACATATACAGATGCAGCAGATGCATGTATATTTTGAGCTCATGAGAGTAAGGAGCTCCACACCTCTTCTTTCTCCTCTACCAGCTCCAACACCAGCACCACCAGTTACTCCTTCAGTAGCACAAAAGTCGCGTTTTATACTATTTTGGACTAAGCTTTTCTCGCTATAACTGACACCCTCCCGTTGTAGCAAGACATGGAGGCAAAATTAGGTCATTATGCTTGCTTCTCGTTGCAACGACATATGTCTTGCTCGAGCGAGAGAAGACATTCTTACACACATTCTCGCTGTAGCGAAAGGAGTACAAATTCACTCTCTTGAAATTAAGAATTCTTGCTGCAATAAAGATTTTTTGCTATAACGAGAAACCTCTGTAAGCTAACTTTTCTTCAACTTTATATTTTTTATGCCTTTTGCTTAACTTTCCAAATTATTTCAATTTTGGGTGATGTTTTCTTCTAATTTCAACTACAAAATATATCAAAAAGGAACAAAAATACTAATTATATTTGCATTCTTCTCTTCAAATATACAAATAATTGTAAAAGTACCAAGTTTAAGAGAAATTTAAACAAAAAATTTAAACACTTAATATAAAAAGTGTTTAAATTATCACCTAAAATTACTCAATTTTTACATTTATCAATATATAAACACATAATAATAAGAATCTATTAGAAAAATTTTCATTGTAAAAGGTAAATTACTTTTCTATTTCTTAAATTTAGCAAAATTTCACTCGATACTTTAACCTTAAACCCTAAAAAAATTATGACATTTTTAACACTTTTCATTTTATATAACTTTTTTTTTGCATTACTATAATTTAAATTTGAAAAATATAATTTAAAAATTATGAGCAAATCATCTCTAAAATTTAATTTCAAGAAATAATTTTATACATTTTAAAAAATATTTTTTTAATAATATTTATGAATAACTCGTAAAACTTAATGTTAAAATATAATAAAAAAACATTTTTAAGAATTAAATTCCAAAATAAGTAAGGTCAAAAATAAAAAATTGAGTACTTCAAGAAGATAATCTCTTTCAGAAAACAGGAATCTTACCTTCCAACATTCTGTGTGGAAAGGGAACTTGTTACCAAAACACACTGTCTCAGACCAAGCTATATTCCCTGCGTTGCTTGCCGAATCTCATGCAGTGATTGGCGAACCCTAATTGCGATTCTATGCTTACTTAGATTAACGTGTGCATTTGTGAGTTCTTTTTCTCTACTCTGATGCTTGCGAGTTCTCTTGTTTTTCTGCATTCAAAATGTTGTTAACAAAACGTCTTTTCAAATACGACACTTCATAAGCTCTAGTCAATTAGGGTTGGGGAGTTGGGGAGGGAAATGTGCACTTGTGGAATTTTTAGGGGCCTAGTACATCTTTGTGAGAGCATTTCTGGAAGCATTAGATAAGAGGTCCCTTTAGTTTTCATGAATTCAATATCTAACAAAAATAATAAAACTAGGAAAACTTCATCCAATTTAGTTTTCATGAAACAACACTAACTACTCAAAAAATTAAGACCAAAAAAGTCATCCAACAAGATATCATGCACATGATAAATTGTACCTTCTGCCAGAAAATAACATTAGAAGGGGCATTTTTCCTCTGCTTGCCCAACACTTTAACGCATAAAACATCAATTACCTTAAGCTCGGATTGTTAGATTGTTACATGTGGCATTTACACATATAGAATTGATTATATAACTTTTATGATTTTGTAGAACAAAAAGTTTTTCTGTGTTAATGTGTTATGAGTTTCATCCTTGCTAGTGTGTTACTTTACGAATAAGGTCTCCTTTTGTGTGTGTGACTGAATTGTTTATTGTAATTATGTTGGAACCTGTACTAAATCTTCCACTGAAACTCTTTCCCTTTACTGATCTTGGATATTTAAGGATCTACAGTTTACTAAGAGATTAGTGCAGGGCCTGAAGGGTTTTGGTGGCTACCAGTTTGCAGTTTCATGCATAGACATGAAAAGAATTTGTGGGGTGTTAATGTCCATGAATATAGCTCACCAATACTAGTTTCAACAATTCACCCAATTTGATAAATATTTGACATTTATGTTGTCTGTCACCTTAATGTGCATATTGATTGCTTGTAACGATGCTGCTTGGTCTTTATCTTTTTAATCTTCAGATTTTGTTACTGCATCATTTGATTTGTAAATAGCCTCACCACACCATTTGTATATCTTTGACTGTATCATGGGTAACAAAGTGACTTGTTCACCAGCTGTTCCATGCCAGAAACTTCATGTCTCATTGTATCTTTCTGTCTAATCTAATTCTACTAAAGTCTGTTTTTTCATATTTCAATGTAATCCCTTGCATTTGTTAGTTGGTTTTCGTCCTCAGGCAAGTATGCTGTCAAAGTGTCAATAACATCAACATATCAATTGGTAGTCTCAATGCAGCAATTATGAAGTCATTTATTATTATTTTTCTAATTATTTGTCTAATCTTTGAATTTCAGTAACTTGGGCAATTCTGATGCTTTTGGAATTCTGGGTCCAGAACTTGGTTAGCTACACCATCTGAAGTACCTGTACGGTCTTGATAACTGTATCAGAATTTTACAGTTGTATGCATTTGATAGGTAACCCCAAGTTAGTTAGAGTTATAATTAGTGTTTAGAGAGTAGCTAGTTTTTTATATTTGTTAGTTGGTTGGGCACAGAAGAATTATGGAGGACTACTTATAAATAAGAGGACAGGTTGACAGAGGGGATCTTGTCACTTTTGGAAGGATTGGGGCCTTTGGGATTTACAAGAGAACTGGGTCTCAAATACCTGGATTGTAGTAGAGTTTTTATATCAATAACAGTAATTTTTCTTTAAAAAAAAAATGACTCTCTAAACACTAATTGTATTATTTGTATAGAACCCTCTATATGTATTGATCACATGAATGCTTAATTATTTGACTATTGCATATGTTAAAACCAAATTTGAAGTGACACCAGTTTTATTACTGGATTTTGCAAAGAAAAAAAAAAGATTTAAAACTTGATTTGATTAGAAAAACTAGATTTAAAACCAGTTTGGCAAAAACGAAAAAGAAAAAGAAAAAACAGATTTAAAACAGGAATTGGTTACCAGATGTAAAACTGGTTTTGGTTCAAAACCTGATTTAAAACTGGTTTTAAACCAGATTGGCGAAAAGTAAATGAATTTTGAGAAAAGAAATGGATTGAGTTTGAAATCCAATCCATATAATTGGGTTTATAAATGGATTTGGATGATTTTTATGCTAAACCTATGCATGCACACCCCTACTCACTAATGCACTACTGACTGTGCACAAATGCCTACTTGGATGAGTACTAACCTTTTCTGGTCACACTTAAGCCCCCTGCACAAGGCTTTCATGCTCTTTTTCCCTTCCCTTATCATTCACCCTTTTGCTCGTTGTGTTCATTTCCCTAATAAAGCTTCTATTTCTCAGTTCTCATGACCCTTTCTTTTTCCTAAAAGGATCATTTCCTAAATTTAATCTGTTCCCAAACAAGCACTAAGCGCTTTGTTATTTAAATTGAAAGTTTATTGGTGGTTATTCTGGGCTATGCAATTTGGGGGTACTTGCAATTTGTGTTATATATTCATTTATGATAACATATGGTGCAGGTTAATAGAGGTCTAGGGGCACTCTCTTCAATACTCTATTCTCTAACAAGTTTTCAATACACAAGCCATGATTATGTTACATCCTTTTGCACCTCTTCCTTCATGCACTACCATTAAATGCTCTAATACTTTTTCCCATAAGAATCCCTTGGTGCCTTCATCAGTTCCTCTGCTAGTCCCAAGTTATACTAGAAAGTGGACATTCTTATGTAGTGGTAGAAGTCGACGAGAAGATTTGAATGGTAGGGAATTTGGTATAGACATCATTAAGGAAGATCAGGAGCTTGAGGAGGATGATGATGATGATGGTAAGTTTTCGGCTCAAGAAATGTATGCAAGAAGGGAAGCAAGGGAAATTGATAAAGAAGTGCAAGAAGATGAAGATGAAGATGGTGGTGGTGGATATTCGGGTCAAGGACCACATGCTGGTAGGCAAGAGAAGGATTACGATAGAGATCCAGAATTTGGTGAAATTCTTGGTGATTTTCTCGAGGATCCCAAACAGGCACAATCCAGAGTAAGCATCACTGTATTGACCGCTTAAAATAACTTTTGTATTGAGTTGTAGATCTCAGTATGGTATGTGTATGTGGGGAGGGGCCAGGTCATGTTTGTTACATTTCAAGTTGTTGAAATTTAAAGTGTAGCAGAGCTGCTTTTGAATTTTGAAAATGAGGGATCTAAACTGTGTGTAAATCAATGAGTTGCAGTTGGAAGGGAGATTGCGAAAGAAGAGGAACAAAATACTGCACACAAAGACTGGATCAGGAAAACCAATGAAAGTGTCATTTAACAAGTGAGTTCAACCATGCATGTGTGTATATATGATTGTGGCATGCAGTTTTCTAGTGTCTGTGCTAGTCTAGTTGCAGTTTCTTACTATCACATTTAAATTTCTCAATTTTGTGTGCTAGAATTTACTGGTTTTATGACCTCTGTTATTAATTTATTAAATTGTCTACACCCAATGATGAGCTTAAAACGAGCAGCAGTAATATTTGCTTTTCTACGACGTATGGAGAGGTTCATGGTTTTTTGTTATGAATAATTTGTGTAAGATTGCAATGATCTATCTTTGTAAGTACTCAAGCTTACCTTTTCAAGCTGTATAGGGTGGAATAGGAATAAGTATTTAACTAAAGTTTCTGATTAAGCTCTCGTTCAGGGCACAGTTTGAAGAGAAACTAGAATGCTAAGATGGTTATACTCAATACTTGTTTAAACTGTATTATGTTCGAATTCCATGAACAAGTGGGTATTGCTTTGATATCTGGTTTGTTTGAATTACATTTAACTACGATGGAATGGATAGGTTAGTGCTGTTGTCTGTTTGAATACTTGAATATCATAAGTCGAATGAGCTTCAAGAAATGGTCAGATTTTAAATTAAACAGAGTGGTTTGAGTAATTTGCATTAAGAACAGCATGAATAGTTCTTACACAGGGAAAACAGAAAGGAGAATAGTTCTCTCTTAGAAAGAAATGAGCCTCTAGTATCTCCCAATGCAAATGATTCTTCCTTCCTTCTCACCACCTCTCTTCCCATTCTCACTAATTGCCTGTTCATTTACCTTAACCCTCTTAGGTAAAATCCCTTGCTGCTCTTTTCATCCCTTCTGTTACAAACATTTAACTGGAGGTCTGTCACTCATTTTCTGCCACTCCATGTTTTCTTGTGCTTCCCATTTTTTAAGAAAACCAGAAATCCGACAGGCTTTCATATTGTGTGTCTCTTGCTTTCACTTTTCCCATTCTCATTGACAAATCGAATATTGAATAAATATTTTGAATCTAATGGAGATAAATATAAGTGTTGTTAAGAAAGAAGAATGAGAAACATAGGATGAATCAGTGTGTTTTAACTACACAGCCAAACATATATTTATAATAGGGATCATTAATACAGAATATACAATTACGTATTTATTATAATTATAAAAATACTAATTTTCTTATTTATAGTATTACTATAATTACAAAATACCAACACTCCCCCTCAAGTAAGAGCATGTAAATCATATGCACCAACCTTGTTGCATATATAACTAATTTGAAAACCGAAAGACTTTGTATAGACATCTGTCGGTCAATCATGAGAATTTAAAAGCTAGTAGTGATGTCTCCAAATAAAATCTTCTCTCTAATGAAGTGACACTTTATCTTAATATACTTTGTCCTCTCATGGAAAACTGAATTTGATGTAATTTGTAAAGTTGTCTGATGATCGCAAATAAGTGTCATCTATCTAACTTTCCCAAATCTCAATTCTTTAAGTAATTGTTTAAGCCAGATAAGTTCACAATTGGCTAGAGTCATGACTCAATACTCTGCTTCTGCACTAGACTTTAGAACTACACTTTGCTTCTTGCTTTTTTAGAAAACTAGATTTCCACCAATAAGGATGCAATAGCCAGATATACTTCCTATCACTAGGTGATCCTACCCAATTTGCATCTAATTACCCCACAATCTGAGTATGTTCTTTGTCTTCATATAAAAGGCTTTTTCTTAGAGCTCATTTAATATATTTCAGAATGCGGATTACTGCATCCCAATGCCCGTCACAAGGAGAGTTAAGAAATTGATTCACCACCATAATAATCAATCTCGGATAGCTGTGCTGAGCAAATGACCCCAAAAACACTACCGTGAGATAGCGGCGCAGAGCAATCTCGGATGATCACTATTCTGATGTTTTAAATATACCTAATGAAAATTAAACTACATATGTGTATGCTAAGAAATATAAAATTAATACACTAATTAAAGACATGCATAATTAATGATCAAAAGTGAAAGTTTGAGAATATAACACATGTCAAATGTCAATGACAACAAAATAAAGGAACCAAATAGAGGTAGTTTCCTATGACTGATTGGGGGAGCAGTCGTTGCTTTTGTATTAAGCCTTCAAATTTGGAACAAAACAGAGAAGGAAATAAATAATAGGCAGCGAAGGGAAATAGAAAACAGTGTGTTTAGTCACCAGAAAATGTTTGGCTCATGTTAGAAACTTTGTCGAAAATGAAAAAGACGACAAAAAACATCTGGTCACGTTGAAAACTTCGCTGGAGATGCAGATGACCAGAAACGTTGGGGTCACATCAAAACATGTCACCAGAGATTAAGATGACAAGAAGCTGGTTGGAAATAGTGACTCTCGATGTCGTACCAAAGAAGCAAGATAAACCAAAAGCATGTCTAAGGGCTTGACAAGGGAGAACAAGATATTAGATATGTAAAAAGGGGGTGATATCTCAAGATTACCTCCCTTAAAAGTTACCCAACGTTTAGAAAAAGAGGGTAAAATACGGATGTGACCTAGGTAATGAAATAGTGGCCACGATGGTCACAATTTGCTTTGTTATTGACCGCTTTTCATGGCACAACTTCTAGATTGAAAAGCGATGCAACGACGACGAGATAGCAACACCTTTCCATGATAGCGGCTGCTATAACCGCTATTGACTACTATGTTCACTACCATTGATTGCAAAATAGATGTTGGGTAAGTAGTTGCTCCATATAGACTTCTTCAAGATCACTATGAAGGAAAACATTCTTGATATCAAAAAGAGGTCAGTGAGAAATAACAGCCATAGTTATGAGTAGCCAGACAAATGTCATTTTGGCTACAGGAAAAAAAGTGTCACCATAGTTCAATCCAAATATCTATGTATAACCTTTGGCCACCAAACAAGCCTAAAAGCGACTAATCTTACCATTAGGACCAACCTTGACCATATAGATCCACTTGCAACTAATAAGAGACTTCCCAAAAGGAAAAAGAACAAGTTCCCACGTACCACTATTTTGAAGAGCACACATTTTACCAATCATTGCTTGTTTCTTACTGGGATGAGAGAGAGCATCACTTGTAGACTGAGGAATAGAAACAGAGAACAACGAAGACAAACAAGTATAATGGGAAGAGGCAAACAATGGTAAGTCAAAGAAACACAATGAGAGAGATTACGGGTAGAGAACCTTTACCAAAAGCAATGGAAAGTTCAGTCTAAGGAGGTAAGCCCGGAGGAGAAAGGGTGAGTAGCATCGGAAACGAGTCAGAGGTAGGCTCATCAAATATGGGCAGTGTAGAGAGTGGCGAATGACGGTGATACACCTGTAGAGGATGTGAAGGAGGTGATTTTGCATAAGCATGAGATGGTTGTAGTGAAAGATAGTAGAAAGGAACAAAAACTAAAGGAGGGGAAGAAGTAGGCTCAGAGATTGAAATAGGAGGACTGGGTGTATAAGTCTTTAGCCTGTGTCCAAACAGACTCACGTCTCATGAGGGAAAAAATTTGATTCAAAGGAGGATGAATGGTAGATTTGATGACACTACAAAACTGAGCATCAATGTTAGTCCATTTAGGTTGTTCAGCAGCATCCAATGGAGTCCTCCTTAGTAGTGAGATGATCAACATAACCTTGACCTTTGAATCAAAGTTTGACATCTGAAGCCCATGTGGCATAATTACTCCCATCCCGTTTTTCCAAGGAAAGGGGGGCAATCATGTAGTTCCTGAAAATAGGAGTGTCTACTTTTGGAGATACGAAGAGGGATGGAGTAAAGATCTTGTGTTGGATATAAGATTAAGTGAGGAACCTGATTATTGAAGATGGAGGAAGGCATGCGGTTTATCAGATAACATGCTGTGAGAATGACATCTCTCCAAAAACGAAGACAAACATTGTGGTGAAGAAGAAAGGTACGGGCAGTCTAAACCAAGAGTCAATTTTTTTTAGCGACACCATTCTATTGTGGTGTGTGAGAGCAAGATGTTTGATGAAGTATACTTTGTGAACGAAGAAAAGACTGAAACTGGGAAGACATATATTACGAGCATTGTCAGTGCGTAAAATTTTAATAGAGGTGCCAAATTGATTATGAATTTCAGTCAAAAAACCTTAGAATATAGAAAAAACATCAGAACGATTTTTCATTAAAAATAACCAAGTATATCAGAAAAAATTGTCAATGAAAGTAACAAAGTAATAAAAACCTAAAGTTGAACTGACATGACTAGGACCCCAAATATTTGAATGAACTAAGGCAAAAAGTGACAAAGCACTTTTATTAACTCGAGTACCAGAGGTATGGCTAGTGTGTTTTTCTAACTGACAAGACTCGCATTCAAAAGACAAACTATGAGAAAAACTTGAAACTATTAGATGCATTTTGGTAATACTAGGATGTCCTCAGCGTTGATGCCTAAGAGCTAGAGACACATAAGAGATACAAGCAACCGATTGTGACAAATAGTATAATCCTCGAGACTCATATCCTGCTCCAATCGTCTGTCCAGTACGTCGATCTTGAACAAGAACAGAATTATTAGCAAAAAGAATAGAGTAATTTTGGTTACGAGTGAGTTTGCTTATGGAGATTAAATTGAAAGGACATCCGGAACATAAAGCACAGAATCAAGGGTAAGATAAGAAGCGGGTCGTGTTTGACCAATACTATGAACTTCTATTTGAGAACCATTTCCCATAGTAACGGAGGGTAAAGAATCTAAATAAGATATGTGAGAGAAAGGGACTTGTTACCAGACATATGATCAGAGGCATCGCAGTCAAGAATCCAAGGTCCAAGGGAGGAGGACTAAGAAACAAAGGCTACAAGATTATCAGACTAGGCAATAGCGACGACAGGTTGGGTATGCTGCATGGTTACCTTATATTGGAGAAATTTATTGTAGGCATTAGCTGAAATTGAAACTTCATCAGATGCTCCTGGAGAAATGACCTAAACAATATTAGCTGTTTTGGGTTGTTGTCGTGCCTTTGTACGACATTCTGCCTTAGTATGGCCATACTGTTGGCAAAAATTGCAACGAGGGCATTGACCATAATGGCTACCACGAATTCCACTCCATCCACCCCAGTAGGAAGAGTGGGAGTAAAAAAGCAGATGAATTGGTCAAAGATACAGGAGAATGCCCAAACACGTGAGGAACTAAGAGGCGAAGTAATTGTTCACTAACGGTGTCATAGGATGGAGCAACAGTGCCCGATAATATTTGATTGCGGACAGAGTCAAACTCAGGAGAAAGTCCGCAAGTGCAAGAACCATAAAAAACTTTTCACGTTCAGCATGTTTGTTTGCATCATTGGTGAAAGGCATGAGTGCATCAAAATCAGCAATTAAGCGATCAAGCTTATCAAGATAGGTTTGTAAATCATGATTTTCTAGCTTCATCGAAATAAGGTTGGAGACAACATTATAAAGGCGATGAACATCGTCGGAGTATACTTTCTTAACTTTGTTCCAGACATCATAACAGGTAGTAAAGGGTTGGTATTGAGGCTGCAATTTGACATCAATAGAGAACCAAAGAACGCTACACAAAGAGGCATCAATTTGCTTCCATAGGGCTTGTTCATTACTGGGAATATCCTTGGCTTGTTTGGTCAAGTGGTTGTCACAACCTTGACACTGAAACCATAGCTTGACAGCAGCAGCCCAAGAGGTGTAGTTGCTTGTCTCGGTTAGTTTTTCACATGGAATCAGGGGAACATTGGTAAAAGTCACTGCAGAGGCTGTATTCGAGTGTCAGCTGTTTGAAGCCCTGGGAAATAAAAGTGAAATAGGGTTAAAAATGGGCGCCTAGATGTGAGGAAGGGGTCAAAGGGTGCGCCGGCAAGTGGGTTGCATCTGAAAGTAGAAAAATCTGCAGTCTAAGACAGTCGCGTGAAACGCATGCGCCAGAAAGAAGCTGCAAGTGTGGGCGCGTGCGGCGGCGGATTGGAGCGTGGTGGTTGCCGAAGGAAGGGGGTTCTGGTCATAGTGGTCGCCAGAGGAAAAGGACGCTTGTTGATGGAGATAGGGACACAGTGGCTGGGAGTACTATTCACCCAAAAAAAAATGAATGCAAATCAGAAAACCTAAACTACTGATACTATATACAAAACTGTGTTTACTGAATATGTTGTGTGTCTAATACAGACCACACAGTATAGATTTATACTCATTTATAGAATCAAATACAATTAATTTTACCTAATAATCAGGAATCAAATCTATAACGGTTAAGGCTATTTACATTCTAACAATCTGTAACGGCTAAGGCTATTTACATTCTAACAATTTGATAATAATATTTATTTTTGTGTTGAGTTGGAATCCACATGATGCAAATATTAAATATTCTGTTTTCCTTTTTTATCAAAAAATATTCTGCTTTTCTTACTTCTAGTGTTGGTATTTCCAGATTTGATTTCTCAAACTCCTATATATGGTTTGAATTTTACAATGTTCCACTGGCAAAAGACATCTCCTTAATTTGTGATGTAAGGAACTTATCCCTATGGCTCCATTTTGTTGTACATATTCCATGATGCAAAGTGGGAAATTTTACAGAATTTGGGTCTTTACAGACTATTCGAGCATGGCACATTATCGGACGTCTTGGTGGATGCAATGCCATGAATATGCAAGTATGTTTTTTCTCTTTTGCCATGGATACCAAGTTACTTTCTCTTTCTCTTTACTATTATTTATTTACTTATTTTTGTGTGAATTTTTCAAACATGATATTGTTGCTTATAGAGCTAGCATTGTTCCTATAGTTGTCACAGTCTCCACTGGATGCCCGGCCAAGTTACGACTGTATTCAGGGAGCTAACGTGGAACCAACTACATTTTACAACATTGGGGATCTTGAGGTTCAAGACAACTTGGCTCGAATATGGTGCAACACCAATTGCATATCCCTTCTCAATGCTTTGTTATACATATAGATGTAACGTGAAGTACAAATACTAGTAATTTCTTCTTCTGGTATTACAGGGTGGATATTGGAACCATTGAACCATTGTTTCTGGATGTTTTGATAAATGCATTGACACAGATAAGCTCCGAGTATGATCTCCACCCACTTTATTTATGTTTGGTAGAGAGAAATATATGGCTTGCTTTTTTAGCTTGTTTCCTCCAGCTTGCCCTTCATTTTAGTAATCATGTTTGGTATATTAAAGTTAGATAATCATTTTTATCCCTTTGGATACTTTTTTTTAATCCTTTTTTTTTTGGGTTTGTGTTTTTTATAGTTTTGTTGGGATCAAGCAATTAAGGTTTGGTGGAGAAGAATTTGAGAATTGGAATGACAATTTGAATTCAGAGGATTCAGGTTATGGTGTTCACAAGATCTAGCCACTTTTCTTGGCTTATGAGGATTTTGGATTGAGGTCAATGAAGAGGAAGTCATGAAATGCATCTCTTTGGGTATCAGTAACTGTAAGACTGAACAGAAAGCAGAGTTGTAAGCATTTCCCTTGGCTGTATATTTGATTTAGGCAACTGAAGCTCATGGAATTTGTGGGGAAATGTTTCAATAAAATCGAAGCCGAAATATATGGCTATTTGGCGAAGTGTACCTATTTTAATAAAAATTACTGGTTCTAAGAGTTTTGCAATTTTGAACGATAATGCTAACTGAATAATCAAGTTGTGCATCAGAGACTCATTTTAAGTTTGTTGTAATGACATGATCTAACATTCTTTTGTCATGGAAGCCTTGTTCATCATTAAAGTAAACCATTAAATTTGTCGTAACGTTTACGTCATACATCAAATTAGTAGACCTTAAAGAATCAATTAATACTTTAAATGAGCTCTCAAAGGACACCTTTGCATCGTTAACAAGCCACCTAAGCAGCCATGCAGTAGATTACGTGTCGCGTTTGCATTATATTTAGCAGTATTAAAAAAATTATAATGACAAAGACTAAGGGAACATATATATATATAGTGGTAGTAGTAGTAGGAATTATGACTATTGCGGCTACAATTTGATGCACGACAAAAAATGTCATATTTATTCTCATCTCTTAATATTAAAAGACTTCTAAGGAGGGCAATTTTGAAACTTTGCACCTCTTTACATTGTCACTTTTGAAACTTTGCATCTCGTTTACATTGTCAATTTTTGCATGTCATTGTATCATTTAAATTTAATATTCTTGAATCCTAAGGGCTCATATTCACCATTTTTTGTAACTTTTACTTTGCCAACAAGTCACATTAGCCTATCTCCTTTTTTGTCAAGATTCTGTTATCTTCTTTATGTATGGCAATTTCTACTTATTTCTGACGTGACCCATTTGCACACGGTATACTTTCCAACTAAAATATGACTTTGTTTACTATATTACACCAATTCATAGTCAAATCTTCATTTCCAACAAGACCCACTATGTTTTGTTTTATTTTACTTCTATGTTCTGTTCTGAATTTGAGAGCCCCTCTAAACCATTGAAGTTTGAAATCTTCAACTTTTAAGAAAATTGATACATCGACATTATGTAGACACCCATAACACCTTCCTCCACATGGACATGAAAAGAAAATTTGCGAAACTTGCTAACGTGGAAACTGATTTAATTTAAAAACAAAAATACCCAATTTAAAAACATTGGGAACCCCATACCTTTGCATTTTAAATCTTCGCACAAAGAAAATTGCCACCCGATTCTCCTTCCTTCAACACCAAGACGTTTGCATAGAAGAAAATTGTCGTTAGTTGTTCTTATTCACTGCACAAATATAGCATCTCTTTTCTTTATTTCTCATATCAGGCTTGTCTCATTCTCTACCTAGGGCTTTTCATTCCTCATTCTGTTTATTGCATGTTTCCACGTTTGTTCTGAATAAGATTTATCCTTGTTGGGTTATCAATGCAAAGAAAATACTGATTATTTGTTGCCTGGCATCCCTAAATTTGTTCGTGTTACTGCACATCTCTATTTCTACTACTTAGTCGAAGTGGGAGATAACAAAAAACCTATACTTGCATCCACAAGGTTTAGTGGATGCAAGTTCGCCCCCTTTTTATTTTGCCAACTAATTTGTTTTATTCTGCTCTTAACTAAATCCTAACTGATAGGCCCTTAATTTATAAAGAAGGCTCAAATGCATTTTTGTCTAAAAATTTCTCTAAGCCCTTAATTTAAAAAGTATACGAGAGAAAAAAAAAATGAGAGGTTAATAGTGACCAGGTGGTGCATTAGAGTTGGTATGTAGAAAGAATTCTTCTATAAGGGAAGTAACGAGGAAAGAGAGAAAAGAGCATAGCTCCAATTACTCAAATTCTCTAGTTTATTGTCTTTATTTTTGTAATTAATATATATCTCATTTTTCTTTCTATCTCAATACCAATTTTCATTCCTTTTTTTTTGTTACTCTTATGTTCATCATTTTGCTGTTTATGAATTTCTAACAAACTGGTTTGACATGTCGGATATTCAATTTCGATCGAATGTTGTCTATGGATTTCTAGCAAATTGGTTTGACCTGTCAGATATTCAATTTCGATCAAATGTTGTCTATGGATTTCTAGCAAACTGGTATGACCTGTCAGATATTCAATTTCGATCAAATATCGTTAGTTCCATAACCAACGTTAGTAACTACATTTTGAATGCCACAAAAAAAATGGAAAGCAAAGTCTCAACCATAGAAAAGGCAATGTCAGATTTCCGTAACATTTTGGTGGAGCTACGAGCTTTGACGATGGAAAACATGGAGAGACATGATTCCATCGTTACTAAAGAATTGGAGAATGAAGAAGCTCTCAATCCAAGAAGAAACCAAAGGCGAATCCAAATGAGAGCGGATGATCCAAGCTTGACGATGATTCCTTGGAGGAATTTCGATGATCAGTGAAGCAAGTTGAGTGCCGATGTTCGAAGGAAAAGATCTCGCCGGTTGGATCGTTAGGGCAGAGGTGTATTTCGAGGTGTGAGGTACTCAACCAGAGGTGAGGGTGAATTTGGCCCAGTTGTGCATGGAAGTGCCAACCATTCATTTTTTCAGGTCCCTAACAAAGGAAGGAGGAGAGTTTGTTAGAAATTTTCCTCTTGGACCATATGGGAATTCGAATAAAACTCAAGAACTGTTACATCAGATTATCGAATAGAGATAGGAGGTTATAGAAATACATGGATCCATCAATATTAACTGGAGGTTGCAGCGGAATAGCCTTTTGGTGTAATGATCTTCCAGGTTGCAGCGTAGTCTTTTGGTGCAATGATCTTCCTCTGCCAAAATTACCTGATTCCTTAATAGAACTTTATGTTTCTCTTGTGATGGGATACAGAGAGACGTATTGTTATTTTGGCATATTAGGGACCATGACCAACTTTATGATTTTAAACCTATTAGGGTTCCCATCAACCCTTTACGGGTCAAATCTAGTCTCCACTTATTGAGCCCATATTTCATTATTCATATTTTTAATTAGTAGTCTAAAGGCTCTCCAAAATTAGATCACTTTTATTGAGCCCAACAAAATGTAAATAGCTAATATAAATGTTATAAATAATATGTATTGCCCACATCAACTATTAGAAATAAAATTTCTAATAGAGTTGACATGGGAGAAGTTCAAAGAGGAGTTGTTGGGTTGGAACGAATCAGCGAAGGAAATATTTTTGAACAACTTGCTACAGCGTAGCAAGACAGAGATGTGGAAGACTACAACATCCAACAAATTTAATGGTTGATCGTGTAGGTTGGTCGTCTTCTTGATAATTAATATTTCAGGTATTTTGTCCACAGATTACAGGATATAAGGGGCAAAGTGCAAAGCTTATAGGCTCTTGGGTCTTGACCTTGTGCTCGCCTTCTGAATGTGGCCAGAGTTATGGAGTTAGAGATGAGGGAGACAAAGGGGAACTGGGCTAGATCGCGACAGTTTGTATCCAATACCATGTTTAGATTCTGGTCACAGTATAGATTCAGGTCGCATGGGTTGAGTAAAGGCAAAATGGGTGATTGGGTTCATGTGAAAGGAGGGAAAGAGGGCCATAATAGAAATACAAATGGCCCAACATCCAAATATGAGCTCAAATTTTTTTTAAGAAAAGGGAGTATTGACATAGACAGGAGAATACACCATTTGTCTTATCAACAAATGGTCGAGAGGAAACAAAAGAGGCTATGTTTTAGGTGTGGGGACCTTTCCACCCAAAGCACTAATGCCCAAACAAACAATTGTATATAATGTTGACTGAGATGACAATGATGAGGTGGGTGAGACCCACGAAATGAAAGTCGATGAGAAGAAAGGAGGTGATTCTAAAGAAGAGTGCAGTGTTATGAACCTTCAAAGCTTGGAGGAGTTGAAATTCCCCCATCCACGCACTTTAAAGCTTCAAGGTATGGTAAAAGGAGTCCCTATTCTACTCTTAGTTGATAGTGGGGCAACCCACAACTTTATATCCAGGAAGATTGCCGAGAAGCTAGGGTGGCCAATTGTTGAGACCAAACCATGAAAATCAAATTGGGTGATGGTCACAAAGTAGAAACCTAAGGGAAATGTGTGGGTATAGAGCTTGAGTTAGGGAAGCATAAGGTGAAAATAGATGCCATCCTATTTGATTTGGAAGGAATAGATGTGGTGTTGGGAATGTATTGGCTAGCTTCCCTTAGAGATATGTGGGTAGACTGAGAGAAGCAACTCATGTTAGTGCAACTGCAAGAAGAGTGGGTTGAGTTGAAGGGAATTAGCAATGAAGTATAGTGTCATGTGGCATTACATAGTTTTTTGAATAAATCTTTGTAGCTAATTGAGGGTAATTTGTTTTTGCTGAGCTGAATTTGTCCCCTACAAGAGGAAACATGAGGACACCAAAGGAGTTGCAGAAGTTACTGACCTTGTACGATACGATATTTCAAGAACCTAGGGGGCTACCTTCCAAACGAAAAGAGGCACATGCTATTATGTTATTGGATGGAACAGGTATGGTTAATGTAAGACTGTATTGATATCCTTATCATCACAAGAACAAAATTGAGCGACAAGTAAATAAGTTGTTGCAGTCTGCAATGATCAGAACAAGTCAGAGTGTTTTCTCTAGTCTGGTTAGCTTAGTTAAAAAAAAAAAAAAAGACATCTCTTAGAGGATGTGTGTCAACTATCGTGCTTTGAACAAGGTCACCGTTCCTAACAAATTTTCCATTCCATTTATTGATGAATTATTGGATGAATTCCATGGTGCAAAATATTTTTCCAAACTAGATCTCAAGTCTGGATTTAACTAAGTCAAAGTCAAGGAGGAGGATGTACATAAAACGGCGTTTAGGACTCGTGAGGGTGTTAGGGAACGACCCTATATTAAGAGGGTCTATAATATGAAGAAGGGTTCATGGCAGGGAATCACTCACCCTCAACCGCTGTAACCAGGGGCGGCTCAAGAGCTTTTAGGGCCTAAAGCAAATTTAAAAATGAAGCTTTTTTATTAATAAAATAATTTTTTTTAAAATTATTATAATTTTATTTAAAATTTATTTAAAATAAGACCAAATTAAACAAATAAAACCTGATTGTCAAGAAAATAAACTTGACACTTGCAATCTCTACGCCTCCAAAAGTGACAGCTTTGCAAAGAAACTGTGAAATACTGTTTGGTAGGTGTGGGTAATGGAGGATGAGTAGTGAAGGGAAGACTCTTGTACCAGTGCCTCTGCGTTGAGAAAATGGAAGGCTTCATACCAATGCTTATG